TTTTTTTCTATTCTGTCACCGCCGTTGCAACCAGTTGCAGCGGAAAATCTATGAACCCACCTCCGACCTTTCTCTCTCCATCTGTCTCTCTTTCGTTCTCTCTCTTTCTCTCTTCTCCTCCTCCTTTTTCTTCTTCTTCTTCCACTATTTCCCTCCTCCTTCTGTGTTGACTATAGTAGCTCCCATCTCAGGTTTCGTCAGTAGCTTCCATCTCATCGAATTTACACATTGACAACCAAACATAGTCGGTGTAAATTTTCAAAATCTACCGGTCCCAATTTCCATCGACAACTAAACCGGTTCACATTTTCCATCGGTGTAAAACTAAATTTACTCTTGGGTTTGTGGGAAGATTTGAGTGGGATGGGATGGGAAAGTGTAAAAATTTACCTTTTCATTGTTTGGTTTTATATATGAGAAAATAATAGGAAAAACATTGTAACGGGTTGGTTCTTCGTCAGAGTTGAGAAAGCAGATCTCCATGAGTTGCAGTGGCAAGAGTTGAAGAACAGAGCTCCTTGAGTTGTAGCGGCAAGATCTCCATGAGTTGTAGTGGCAAGAGTTGTCGAGAGTTGAAGAACAGAGCTCCATGAGTTGTAGTGGCAAGAGTTTGAGAAAGTAGATCTAGTGAAGATGGGAAGAATAGGAGTGCCCCTTGCATATCACACATAGATCTGGTGAAGACAGGAAGAACAAGAGTGCCCCTTACAGATCAGCGCAGATCTGGTGAAGACGGGAAGAAGGTGAGGGAGAAGAGAGAAGAGGAAGGTGGAGGGAGATCGCCACTTTCCTTCATAGTCGCCGCTACCCCTCACACTGATTCCTTGCTAGGTAAAGAAGAAGGCCAGTACCAGTGGTTCTTTCGATGGTAACAGTGGTTTCTCAAATGTTTCCATTGTTACCATCGAAACTATGCGACCCCAAATCCACGATTTTGGGATCTGACATCCCATATTTTTCTCATCCCATCCTTTTATTTCCCTCAAAACAAAATATTCCTTTTTCTCTCCCCCATCCCACAAACCAAACGGAATCTAAAGGCTTCTACAACCCAACTTGGGAATCTGTTAAAAAAACTAGGATTTTTATGTATTCCTCTATATAAATTTTATAAATTTGTATTTTTAAAAACAACGAGAGGCTCCATCACAATTTAGGATGCAATTTTAGCAGATTAAGGTTGGGATTTTATCAAAATTTCAATAGGCTCAAATCAATAAAACCAATAATTCTTAAAAAAGCAAATAATGAATTTTATATGTCAAAAAATTTAGGAGACTCGAAGAGATAATCCCTTCGAATCCAAACGCACACGATGCGGAGTGAGTAAGGTGCCCAATGATTCAACCAGCTGCCGATGACTAGGGACAGTTGATATACCTTGTACGGATTTACATTTGCGCCTCATAGAATATTTCACCGTGCATGAGGAATATTTCCTGAAGTTGTCTGGGAGATATCTCAATACACGGTTGGGATGTGCTGTAAACGTTTTACGGATGCATTCTGTGAGGGGCAGATGTGATTTTCTCATAACTGAACTGACTTCTGACGAAACGGGATCTGCTCCTTATACGGGGCGCCTCACATGTACATCCACCGTGCATTAATAACATCTCCCGTGAATAATAATTTATAATTACGGAAGATATTTTCAATCCATGGTACGATGTGCGTTGAGGCGCGAGTGAGGCGCCCTGAGTAAAGAGCAGATCCGGTCTCACTGCTGACTTGCTGAGTAGAACTAAAACCCTGGAAAAACCCTATTTTTCGTCTGCATAGTTTCACTTCCAGCGTCCGGGACTGTCGCTAGCAACAATGCAGAGGGCAAGGGGAATACTAGCATCTCTCAGGCTGGTGAAGTCTCTGCGACCTTCCATAACTCGGCCTATTCACTTTCAGGTAACTAGGTACTCATACCTCTTTCCATGTTTCTCCCCCTCTCTGTCGACACCATCTTTTGTTTCTGCTTTTCTTTATGGTCACCAAAACCTATACTTCTCCTCAAAACCAAGCTCATTTGTGGAACTCATTCTGGCAAACGAGTGGTCTGAAGAGATAGAAAAGGAATTGGAAGGCTCTAATCTAACGCCAACCCACGAAACTGTTCTCTACATTTTAAAGAAACTTGACAAGGAGCCTGAGAAGGCCTGGTGTTTCTTTAATTGGGTTTCTGTTAGGTGTGGGTTTAAGCCCAGTGCTTCGATGTACAGCCTACTGCTTAGAATTTTCGGTCAAAAGGCATCGATGAAGGAATTCTGGCTCATCATCAAGAAAATGAGGGACGAGGGGTTCGATATTGACAAGGAGACATACCTAACGATTTTGGGAACATTTAACAAGGAGAAGATGGCAAGTGAGGCCGCTGCCCTGACCCAGTTATTTTCTCAGATTGTTCAAGAGAGTGCTACTGATTCCGTTGTGAAGCTTGTGCTTGAGATCGTCCTAGCGTCGGATTGGAGCGATGGGATTGAAAAGAAATTGGGGGAGCTGAAGCTCTCTTTGTCAGAGAACACCGTATTAAGGGTCTTGAAGGAACTTCGGGGGCAGCCTTTGAAAGCTTTGAAGTTTTTCGATTGGGCTGGGAAGCAGCAGGATTTGGACTATAAACATAACGCTGTGACTTATAATGCCATTATCAGGGTTCTTGGACGGGAAGAATCAATTGAGGAGTTCTGGAAAATGATTAAGGTATTGAGGACTGCTGGTCATGACGTAGATCTTGACTCGTATATAAAGCTCTCGAGACAGTTTCAAAAGAGCAAGATGATGAAGGATGCAGTGGAGCTCTATGAGCTCATGATGGACGGCCCATATAAACCCTCAATTCAAGATTGTAGTGTACTTTTAAGGCAAATCTCGTTGACTGCCAAACCAGATTTGGATTTGGTCTTTAGAGTTGTGAAAAAGTATGAGGCAACTGGCCATTCTCTGTCTAAGTCTGTTTATGATGGGATACATAGGTCTTTGACTAGTGTTGGTAGATTTGATGAAGCAGAAAGGATTTTGGAATCTATGAAAGTTGCAGGTTATGAACCTGATAATATCACTTATAGTCAAGTGGTATTTGGACTTTGTAAAGCTAGGAGGCTGGAGGAAGCCTGTAAGGTGCTGGATGAGATGGAAAAAAAGGGATGTGTCCCTGACCTTAAGACATGGACCATTTTAATTCAAGGACATTGCACAGCTGGTGAAGTTGATAAGGCTTTAGCTTGTTTTGCTAAGATGATAGGAAAAAGCTGTGATGCTGATGCTGATCTCTTGGAAATAATGGTAAATGGGATGTGTAGTAAGAAGAAGGTAGTTGGCGCATACACATTGGCGGTTGAGATGGTAGAAAAGGCTCGTTTGAGACCTTGGCAAGCCACATACAAGAATTTGATTCAAAGGCTACTAGGAGAAGGGAAACTTGAAGAAGCGTTGAACCTTCTTGTTTTAATGAAAAAACACAACTTTCCACCATTCCCAGAACCTTTTATTGACTATATATCAAAATTTGGGACAGTGGAAGATGCTAAAGAATTCTTGAAGGCACTGAGTATAAAGAAGTACCCATCTTCTTCAGCTTATCTTCATGTCTTCCGATCTTTCTTCAGGGAAGGGAGGCATTCAGAGGCTCAAGACTTGCTTTATATGTGTCCCCATCATATTCGAAACCATGCTGATATCCTGAATCTTTTTGGTTCTACAAAACGTTGCAGTGGTACTGCTTAGCTTCAAAGCAACTAGTGTGTCATTTCTGAACATTCTAGTTTCATTTTGAGATCAGAAGATTGAAATTTTGGTTTAAGATTCTTGGCTTAGAGAATTTTGTTGTATGAATGAACTCAAGTCAGTTACCATTTGGGGCAATTATAGTCTTTTGCCTACATTATATGTAAATGTCCTATTGTTTTCTTTGCCTTTTTTCTTTTTCCTTTTTCGTTGTACAAGTTTAATTGGAATTAGTATGAATTCAATCTGGTTGATTATGACATCATAGCTCATGGAGAAGTTTTGGGACTTAAGCACTGTAACCCTACAAACTGAACAAATACAAAATTATGTAGTGAAAATTTCCATATTAAACAATTCTTAGTGCTAGCACGATCAAGATTGTCTAAACATGATTTTGTATTTTATTTTGTTTTTTATTTATTTTTATAGAAGTAACAAATACACATTGTCTAGACATGGTTTTGTGTTGCTGGAATATTTGGATTTGATGGTTCAACTAACCACTTACTTGGGGGAGGGGAGGGGGGGGGGATAGAAGATGGTTTAGCTAACCATATCCACAGAATGTGAATTGGTGATGTATTGGAATTACTATCAGAAAATCTTGTGCTTACTACTTGTACACATTTTGGAGTTTATATATTATTATTGTCTAGGGCCTGCTCAATTGTCACTATACTTGACAACCTAAAACTTGTACATATTTACTGTCTTCTAGAATGGTTCATCCACACTTGTAATCAGCCACTGAAAAATTGTGCTATGTTACAGTAGCAAGGGATTTTGCACCATTGCTCAGACAAACTGGTTTTCTTTATTCCCACTTAATGGTCCTCTCCAGAAACTATCTTTTTGATAATCATGAGGTTTCCCTTAAATGTAGTTGGTTAGACCGAGTCCCAACAAAAAGAAACCAATTTTAAGCTTTGGTCAAATGCTACAAGGATAAATGTCTGGAGACCAATTAATCCAGCCTTGTGTAGTTAGCACGTCGACATTCTTGCGTCCACAGATGGCCTCTTTCAGCATAAGGGAAGAAGCAATAGTGTGGAATTAAGGTTATTTATTATATCAAATTTGATTTTCTTCCAGTGGCCATAGATTTGTTGTTTGCAAGCAACCAAAACATTTTTGACTTTGATCACGTCTTTGTTGATTTCCAGTATTCACCATTCTATTGATTCTAATGTAATGCTGGAGACTGTTTTAGGACTGAATCTGAGATTGGAGAGTTATTTCAAGGAAACATTTAATAGAACCATGTTTTAGAGGTAGAATTTCTCCAAAATGGGAACTTTTTGGTTTCTCTATTTATTTATTTATTTTTTATGTTGAAAGTAGTTTTTGAGCATAAAGAAAAAACTTTGAGGGTCATTTTGGCAATTTCTACTTCTAGATGAAAGTAAGTCTTGCTTCTACAGAAACACTTCTATATATGATGCCAAATGTCACTGAAAGAAGGTTTACTAAGTCTAGGTGGGAGCTGCAGAATGTCTTTGAAAGAGCAATCTCAAAAACCAGTACAATGCTTTTACATGTTTGTCAGAACTCAGAAAGAGCAATCTCAAACACCAGTATAAAAGAAAAAGGTTACAAAAAAAGCTCGGTCCCAAACAAAAAATAGGCCAGCAAGAGTGAGCTATACAATAAAATAAAAGAAATTTTATACAACTTGTTACAAAGTTGACAGAACTCAGAAATACTCTCATTTTTTTTTAAAGGGTAATGTTTGCTAAGTTGTTTGATCAAATATCCAAACTTCTAGAAGTTTTTCAATTATCTGAATGTTTTAATGAGATCAGAGGAAAATTTCAAGGTTTACTGGAAGTGAAGCAAAACTCAGCTATTTCTAGCCATATCAAGGATTTGAGTCAAAGACTTACAAATATTATTGAAGAAGGTCAACAATCTGTTTCAGACAGTTGTTTGACTTGCATGAGTATTATTTTTAACAATGATAATAGATTTTCAGAAACAGCTTGACCTGATTGTGAAATATGATTGGGACTTTTATAACTACTTGGAAGATGTTCCTACAGTGGCAAAGTGACATCTCCTCATGTTAGAAGCTATTAACTTTAGGGAACTTTTCCTTTGGTTACCTTGCCAGTTTTATATGTTATATAGATACTCGATTTTACTTACTACTGTCCACATAATGAATATGTAATGAGCTTCATTCTGTCAATGTAGATGGAATATATAAGGGCACAAAGCAAAGCAAGGGATGGTAAATTACTACCAATTGGTCACTCCATGGGGGGTAGTATCTTGCTGTTTGCAATGTTATCACGATTGGTTAAGAATTGTCCTATGCCATATTTGTCCTGTTAATGTGTTGGTCCAATAGTAATACATTCTAATCTAGGTTTGCTGTAAAATTGGTGCAAACTTGGGACCTAATGTGTTCATCTTTTCTTTATTCAGTGACAAGTAATATTATATTGTTGAGGATGCCTAAGTTGCTCGAGTTACCTTGTCAGGTACTCAATAGGGGTATTAGTGATCTGCTGCAATGACTCTCAGCTTTACTCCCTCGCAGGAATGCATAAAAGGGCAGCCCAGTGCATGAGGCTCCCACCAATGCGGGGTCTGCAGAGGGAAAGATGTACACAGCCTTTCCCCTGCACATACAGAGAGGCTGTTTTCAAGATTTGAACCCTGGTCACCCAGGTAACAATGGGGCAACCCAACTGTTGTGCCAAGGCCCACCCTCCCTTGCAGGAATGCATCTTACCTAAATTTCATGTTACAAGTACTTGTTGACATTACTTTTCATTTGCTGTTACTATTTTATGGCTTCTTTCTGGATTGAACAAACCAACATCAGGGCCTATTTATATTCAAAGATATGGAAATGATGGCCAACCAACTCAATAAGAGTTGGTCTTGTTTTCTAGATTTAGGGTCCATACCCAGTCCATCCATTCTGATATCTCTGATATCCAGGACCAACATTGGGTAATGGCCCTTTTGCATGGCATTTCTGAAAATTTAATTGATCTCAAAATTTTTATCTTTTTGTTCATCTGATATTTTTTTTTCATGCACACACGCTTGCATACATCAGATATTTAAAAAAAAAAAACTGCAACCCAGTCATCATTCTAGTGGAAATTTATCATATTCTTTAATTAACCATTTTTTTTTGCAATTTTTCCTTCTTTGTACTTGCAGTCATACTTTCTCAGCCATTAAAACCTTCTGAATCTCAATGTTTCAATCCCAAGCAGAAGTTAACACATTTTAGCACTCGGTACTCCTAGACAAAGTTGGTACAAGACACTATGGACAGTATTTTGAAAACTGGATTAGGTCTCACAATTGAACTGGAAAACTGTAAGTCAAGATCATTATTCCCAGTTCTAGGGAAATTTGATGGTCAAGATGGTTGAACTGCCCAATTGAATTGTAAAAACCATGAACTGTTTAAAAAATTATTATCTATTCTTAATTTCCAGCTTAAGCTCAATACAAACTTTTTGTGATCTTGTCTTTGTAGTCCTGATTCTGTGTTTGGAGCATTTCAGATTTCCATGCATATCTGTGAAATGTTCTCTAGGTATTCAGTCTATTACAGTTTTTATAATTAAGTTAATAATTCTATGAACTAGATGTTTCTTGGAAGACACTGTACTTGAAGAGGTTACATTTGGATGGCCAAGGGAGAGAGGCCATCTGTTGAAAGAACAACTTGCCCTTAATTTTATTTCTTAATCACTCCAAACAGCTATCAATTCAGTATCTCATTGTTTGAGCCTGTCAATTATTGATTCTCATCCCACCATGTCTTTTCTTTCTGCTCTTAATTTTATTGTATTAATTGCTGTCTAAATAGTTTACTCCAAATCTTCCCCTGTTTTTTTCTGAGCGAAACATTTTGTTTTTCTATTTCCAACATTTATATCATTAGATGAAGATCCCAACAATCTACGTGGTGGTTACAGACGTTGGCTTGCACTTGCAATTCAATTAGTAGGAATCTTATATAAACTCTTATTGTTAACACACACTAATAAATCATATACATCGGAAAAGGGAAATATCAATGACATGTATGCTTTCTTGTTGGTGTTTATGTAAATTTAGTCATATATAACATTGATCCAAAAATGCTTTTATGTAGAAATCTCAGATCTATTGATATTACATGAGCCTCTTGCTGGCTTTTTTCAATGCATTTTAACTCTCTAATACCATCTTCTTTTCTCTATTGATTGGGCCTCAAACTTCTGTTCACTATGTGAGATGAATATGTGGTTTAGAAACATGATTAATCAACATGGGATTTAGGCTATTTGATCCTGCCCTATGAAATATGAATACATTGAGTCATCTTGTATTTACATCCCGAATTAGAGACAATCAATAACCTATAACAATGTGCTCATAAATCATAAATGACTTAATGGTTTGTCACTGGTAAAGGCTTCTATTATGCATCATCCTCTGTTTTTTCATAGGTAGAATTGCATTTTACATGAACTTCAACCTTGGTTTTTAGGGCATGTTTGGTTGTGTGGTGTGGTTGAGGTGTAGTGTGTATTCAACCACCCCACACCAAACTGGATTGAACCATGCCATATCTAACATTGTGTTCAGTGCTGTGTTTGTGTCGTGTGTTTTCAATTGCACTATCAAAAAGATGTGTTACGCAAACTGTGGTGTAGTTCGATCCACACCACAAGTTAAATGATTGCTTGTTACTCGCATAGAACATGTACTATGCATAAAAACTGCATAAAACTTTTCTTATTGGTGAGATGGGAATTTTTCCTTTTTTTATGTTGATGTTGCTGATAACAAATTTTTCCTTTTCCTTTTCCTTTTCTTCTTCTTCTTCTTCTTCTTCTTTTTCTTCTTCTTCTTCTTCTTCTTCTTCTTCTTCTTCTTCTTCTTATGTAGCTAGAGGTTTATTATTATTATTATTATTGTTATTGTTATTGTTATTATTATTATTATTATTATTATTATTATTATTATTAGTATTAGTATTAGTATTAGTATTAGTAGTAGTAGTAGTAGTAGTAGTAGTAGTACTACTACTACTACTACTACTACTATAGTACCTGTAAATCTTCATCCATGTGTCAAGTAACAAGAGAGGTTTGAGGAGATCCATCAAACTTCCATAATACCTTCCTGAGGGCAGGGTATCTGGTTTCCTTATCCATATGAACTCCTTTACCACCATACACTGCATTCACCCAGAACCCTCCAAACTAGCATTCTTGAACTTGTATGAATTGAATTTTCTCAAGTAAAGGAGGGTGGTTTAATGACCCATTTTGCCGTATAAACAGTGAAATAGTGGGCTGAAGCTTGCCACATAGGAACAAATTAAAGCACTTCTTTTATCCAAACGAAAAACCTAGTTCTTCTTTCATAATAAAGTAGTTTCTTGCTCACTCCCTGTGTTGCTTCATCTCCAGTCCTTGCCACTAAGCTTGTTTAAACTGCCAAGGAGAACTCTTTGAGCAAAAGAGTAACCTTTATTGTCATTGTTATTTTCTATGTTCAATATATGTGATTAGTCCGGAGTTTTAGATGGGCAAGTGTATTCTGTCCAAAGCTTTTTCTTTTTCTTTTTTTTTTTTTTGTATTTGGTCTATTTGGATATTAGATTATGAGTTATTGCTATACTGCAACTTTCCAACCCCTTTTTTTGAGGGGTTTCTTTTCTTTGTAGAAAAGAAATAGATGTTAAATTCATATATTATATTACCCTTCGATCAGCTGCTGCAAACATAATTTGTACTTTCATCTTACTTTTGACTGGATAGTCAAAGTTGATTGTGGTTTGTGTAGCTTGCAGCTACCGTCAAAGCTGGTGTGTTCATTGATGCGATGTCAAATGTGGCTATTGATGGTGATAAATTTCTTAGCACCATCATTGTCTTTATGTGGTAAAGCATTCTCTGTGAGAATGTTATCAATAGTCGAGGCTTCTTCACTCTTTAGGCCACAATAACTATCTTGGGAGGCTCCTAGGGTAAGAAGTTCCAGGTATATGAATGAGGCAAATTAAGCAAAGTTTCGGTATCCTGCAAGAAAAGAAACATTATTGTGCCAAGTGCAATATAATACAAGCCTTGGCTGTGAGATGGGGCGTTCTAGAAGTAAATTCTAAATTTTATTGTTGAATCTAAAGATTTTGATAATTTTGCAGGGTTCAGGTTATGAGGAACTGCTCTCCAGGAAATTCAGTCCTTCAGGGATTGAAACTTTTCATAGTAAAACTTGGCATTACTTGCTCAGGTTGACAAACAAAACTATCCATGAGGCTGGATTTGATTGGGCACAGAAAAGGAAAGTTCGAGTTCTGAAGTACTAGTGTCATGAGAGGGGCCCCTTCTTGATGGAACCCATAAATTAGCCCAATAATATAGTATTAAGCACCAGAGGACACTGTTCCACGTATTAGACCATGATGGACACTGTTTCTGGAGAAATACAAAACAAGGGGGAGTTTGGATTTGAAAAAAAATCATATCCATTAGATTGGCATAACAACAGTTGATCGGTGTTGCATAGGATAAACCAAAAAAAAAAAGGGTTGTTAAACGAAAAAAAAAAAGGAAAAAAAAAGTGGGTTGTTAAACGAACATTTCCAACTAGAAACAGGACAAACCTAGCATTGTCTACTATAAACGCCTATTGATCAATGCTGTTTAGATTACATCTAAACTCGTATTCGATGACATCCGAAGAATATGCCTTTGAGAGAGAGAGACCGTTTGGTGAAGGCATGCCTTTCCATACGAAGATGCAATAAAAAAAGTACAAAAAAATCTCTATTTAGAGTTTTCCAAAAATAGCTTAAAACGCGTTCTGTGGATCTTTATGGAGAAACATCTCTTGACAGTCGAGTCTTTTCCCAACTGAACGGGAAAGAGCTAAAACATGGACTGTTGGACTTCTAAACAACGACAGCCTATACGAAAAAGATACACCAAACGGGGCCTAATTTGAAAAACAGCTGGTGACTTGGTGAGTGGTGAGCTACCAAAAATCAAAATGGTCCAATTTCAATTTGGATTGGGGTATAACTTTTACACCCACGGCCCACCTAGAACTAGAAGCTATCAAGCTAGAACGATTACTTACCTGACCAATGAAAGACGTATATTATGCATAAACATCATCAAATGTCAAAACGTTTCTCTAATTGTAATTTGCCAGTAGAAACTAAAACTGTTGCATGGTGTTGGTGGAGATTTGTCATTTGTGTGCGTAATCGTATTGTGTGAATGGGGAGTGTCAGTCTTCAATCACTCTGGAGTCTGGACTGGACACTTGGGAAACATCCGAAAAGAAGACGCGGTTAAAAGTTAAAACGATATTTCAATGGTGGGCCGTGGGCCGTGGGCCATCTCGACCACCATTTTGGTTTTTGGTGGATCCAACTCCATGTTTGATGTTCCTAGGAAATAGGAATTCCGTGTGTTTCAATATTACTTATTTCACATCTTACACACTTACTTTTCCATCCAACTCCTTGTTCCGAATCAATGAGCCTTCATCCACCATCTAATTCAATCATTTCTCTCTCTTTTTTTTAATGATATTCAAAAGAAAGTGAAAGAAAAAAAGAAGAAAGTTTTTCTTCAAGTCAATGAGTTCTAGCAAGAATATGGTTGAAATGCTTTATGCCAAGTACCAATCAAACGGAGTGAGCCTCTCGCTCTCACGTTGGACTATTGGAGAACACCTAGTAAACGAAAATGTATGGAAGGTGTCAATGTGTGACACCCAGCCCAGAATCCAGATTATGACGTTACGCTACGCGGCTTCAGTAATCAAGAAACTTCCAAACAACCAACTGAGAGGTCGTAAGCCCATTGTCATAATGAAAAAGAGGAGAAGGCCCAATTTGCCACTTGTCAGCAAGCACCACTTCAATGTTTTCAACGACACGTGGCTTCATGGAAGCTTTGATTTCGATCTTTGGAATGAGATAATAAGGATCAAGTTAGTCATTCTCTCTGTCTCTCATAGAGGCCTTACACGTGTAATCTCTAACTAGACCATGGTTATTGGTTACGTATCTTTAACCCATGGTCCATGGATTGGGAGATCCGCGGTTGGGCCAGGGTCCACTGGCCCTATTTATTTGCAGCAGCGCAAGTTGGTGAATGGTGAATGGTGAGGCGTGCCCATGAAATCAAAGCTGAGGAGGGAATTCCAAATTTCCGATTACAGTTGTTCTTAGCCACCTCTCTGAAGTCTGATCTGATCTCTCTATCTTTGACGAGAATACGACTCTTGTGTCGTAGGAGGAGTGTGCAGGAGCTTTATAAATTAGGGGAGAACGTCTGTTGCTTTCTTCTTCTTTTGGATTTAGCGGTGTTTGGGGCCAGGGGAAACAAGTAAGATGGGCCTGTCGAACTTCCCCAGTCCAGCCGAAGGGGTGCTTCCGGTGCTAATTCTTTCTGTGGCTCTTCTGAAGAACATGGTCAGATCAGTGCTTCAACTGATGGGAGTTGGTGAAAGCCCTCCAAATTTAGAGGAATATGATGTGAATGATGCGTGCCCACCATCATTCTGGGAAAGTGCAAGAGATAGAAGAATTTCAGTGACCCTGTACATGTATTTGTGCAACAACAGGAGCAGCGGTAGGGGTGAGTGTAGTTTTTGGTCTTCAATGGAGTGTTGCGTGTGCCTGTGTGGATTTCAAGCCAACGAAGAGGTCAGCGAGTTGCCATGCAAGCATTTCTTCCACAAGTGTTGTCTGCAGAAGTGGTTGGATCACAACCACACCACCTGCCCTCTATGTAGATCTCCACTCTAATTGAGATAGATGTGTGCGAGCGTGTATGTGTGTGTGTGAGAGAGAGAGAGAAGACTGTTTTACTCTTTTCTTTTTCTTTTGGATACCATTTCAATGTGTTTGTGTTTCTAATGTTTTTCCCCGTTTGTGTTGGAGCAAACATGACTTGACCACTCTGACTTACTTAATTAGTGGGTTACGCTCTCATTCCCCTGCTGTTTGGCTCCAAGAGAAATGCAAGCAAAATAAAATCCCAATAAAATAGCATTTGGGCCCAGTCGATGGAGAAAGACAGGAGTACTTTGGTTCAGCAAAAAGGAGCTCTCTTTCGTTTCCTATGAATATGGAAAAAAAAAAAAAACACCCTCAAGTGGGTGGAGTGGAGCCTACTCACTCAAGTTTCTCCAGCAGAGGCCAGCTAAGCTACAGACTTGTTACAGCAGGAATCACAGGAAGAGATGGACAGGAGGGGCAGTGGGTCTGCCCTGGCGATTTTTCTAATTTTCTTTCCATCTTTTTTTTGCCCTGGAGGCCTGGACCAACCAGCCCGGACTGAAAAGTGAGAGCCTATGGGATGGGTAAGTAAAGCCCAGTAAGTCCAAGCCGGGCTACAGTAGATAGATATGTTAGACTTGGTTGGTCCAGTGATTTGTGTTAATTACGTCATAAATAACCAGCTCAAGTAGAAAGCTTATTCCAACAGTCTACCAGGTAATGGACTATCTGTATTTGCTTAGGTGTTTAGCCGTCTGATCCGTGTAAAGCGAAGTCCATCCATTAATATTTTCTTACGGCAAAATTCCACTTTAGTAACCTGAATTTTGGGATAGTGTTAAGTTAGTACCTCAATTTTCAAATATGGTACTGTAGTATCTAAATTTTCAAAAAGTGTCAAATTGGTCTCTGAAGTTAATGATTATTAGTTATCTGTTGAAAATATCAAAACTATCCTTCAAAATAAAATACTGTTCATTATTTTTTACCTTGAGACTGAATCAGTTATCTTCAAAGAAAGAGAGAAAAAACATGAAATGTGATAGAAGAAAACAATAACTGAAAGCAAAGAAACAACTGGACAAGAATGTGTTTCAGATCTAGAGGTAGAAGATAATGACTTCATTAGTCTAAAATCTCAAACACCTCGATCGATTCAGTCTCAAGATAAAAGATTTTTGAAGGGTAATTTTGATATTTTCAACAAATAACTAACGATCGGTTAATGGCAGGGATCAATTTGACACTTTTTTAAAGTTTAAGTACTGTAATAACACTTGAAAGTTGGGGTACTGTTTCATACTGTTAAAAACAGACTTACCAGTAAAAATAGATCTATCTGTAAAGGACTTGCTTCCTGATTGGGTTTTATGTGAACAGATTAATTAACCGCAATTGGGTGCTTCAGAGTCGACAAGCGACCACCCTTGTTTTCTTCCAAGTGCATCCCATTATGCAAAAGAAGAAGGAAACTGGTATACGAATTTGATAGTTCTAACAGAGATAAACGTTAAAGTTTGAATTGAATTGAATAGACTGTTTTTCTTGGATCTGGCTCCACTTTGATTTACAAGGAAGAATAAAACACGGGGTGCATCATTTGATTCCATAAGACTGAAGACACGGAAGGCAAGGAGACAAAAACATCTATATCATACGAGCCCATTTCAAGTTTTCGACAAAAATTCAACTTGGAGTCCCAAAAGCATTGGCTTTGGCTACTCAAGAGATAAGAACAGATGTCTCTCATGGTGGTCCCATGGACTTAATAATCTCTCCACAGTCCACAGGGGTAATGTGAGGTTCTCGTTTACTGAAGAAAAAACAATGGCTTCAAATTAAAAGGTGTCATTGCATAGACGAAGACGATAATGAAGAAAAAAGCAGAGAGCGAAGATGAACAAATCGAAATACTCAAGGCTGTAGCACAGGCCTGGCATGGCCACTCCGGCAACACCAGACCCATGAAGGAATTCGACGCTCACAGTCACTGCAGGAACAGCAGCAATTTCATGAGCAAGCCTAGTCGTTTCAAGCTGGAAGCCACCATGAATAAGCTGTCCAAGGGGGTCATCGCTCCCAATTGGGATTTTGGACAATCTCTATGGGATTCCTACGAAATTGTAACCCTGTCAAAGAAGCTAGAGGCAGGGCTTGTGTTGGACAATCACCCACTTTTTATATTCCAAGATTTAATCACTCCGGGCGGCAAGAGACGTAGAGAGAGTAAGAATAGTTTGAGAAATTTGTTTAAGAGGGTATCCTCATAAAAAACATTTGATGTGCATATTCCCCCAGACAATGATTATCAATTTTGATACCACACTCAGACTCGCCAAATCCAAATGTACTTGCGATTTTCTTGCTCCTTCTATTGATATTCCATTTTATTTCTCTGGGCTCTGGACTCTGGAGTTTTCAAACTTTTACAATAGAACTATATATAGCATGCTTTCTTTCCTTAGTATTTAGTAGGAACACGATTTACATTATATTACATATATGTATGTATAAAAAGCAAGCATATATAGAGGCTGCGACATTATTGAGCAAGGAACTTAACCCATAAAAGCTACATATAGATTAGATTTTTATAGCTAGGTCGGATGGATGAAGATGGGGTTCATTAATTCTGTGACTCGCTCAACGTGCCTTGATGGTGGACCAGTTGTTGCAGAGTGCAAAACGCTTTTGTTGGATGAAACCCTCGGCCCTTGCATCGATGTTGTCTCCCAGCTGCTTGTCTGGTTGAGCAGGTTCCGTCACCTGAGTCGCCTCGACTTGTTTGTCTGGACGAGGGGCCTTCTTGTTGAAGATGGCACTAATATTTGGGTAGGGAGGGGCATCGATCACACTGGGCATCCTCAACATCTTATGCACATGAGCATGATAATCTTCTGTGGTAGCTGCAGACTTGCTCATTTTCTGGTGATGGATTTTGGCTGTGCTGTGCAGCTAATCTGTGATTTACTGTGATGTGAGTGTTTTTTCGCCTCTCTCTCTCTGTGACTTGACTTGCTGCTAATGGAAATCCCCAACTGCATGTTATTTATAGGCTACTCCCTTATTCTAAAACGATAAGATTGCATCTGGTACCCTCTGCTTTTGTCAATTCCAATCCTTGAGGAATATTACTTTTCTTTTTTAAAGGGCTAGCACATAGCATGTATAAGTTCATCTTGTTGTGATGACTGATGAAATTGGGGATTGATGCCTTAACTGTGTTTTGAGAGAGACTGAGAGAGAGAGAGAATAATTTCATTGCTCAGAAAACATCTGTCAAGGGGTACATTCCGAAATAAATTCAGGGGGAATCGACCAAGTAATTGGCGTGGAAATACAGTTCATTCACAAAGCGGTCTCCTCTCCCCCTTTGTTGTTTGTTGGCCCACTGGAAGGCTCGACAAGGTTGTCAATTTGTTGGGCCAGAGTTAATTTATCGAGACGTAAGGGACATCGATCATATGCTCTCACCAGAGTTAATCAACAGGGGAAGGAGGATTGCCGGATGAAGTACTCTTCCTCTATATAGTCAGCATTTTAGAAAGCAGATGGTTATATCAGCTCAAGATTGGCTAATCAGTTGATAAGAAAATATTTTGTTGATATTTAATAAGAGAGATGATTTGTTAGTACCTCTTTGAGGAATTGGAGGTAATTTCATTGCATTATATAGACTACCAATCTCTTATTCCAATATTGGATAAGAAAGTTGCCTGGCCCTCCACTCTCACTCTCACTCTCACCCTCTTCTGTTGTCAATTTCAAGCATCACAAGCTCGAATATGGAATATTCTCTCTAAGGTGTGATATGGAATATTGAATTTGAAGGCCATAAGGGGTTTTGTTGGGTGTAGCTAAGGGACACAAATTCTAGATTAAACCTCCACACTTAATACCCTCCCTAAATCAAAATTGAGCTTGATCAGATGACTACTTTGAAGTTTTACCCACCACCTGATTAGTTCTTCTTCAAAATAAAGGAATGCAGAAAACAGGGCTCAGAATTTGGTGAGGCTGGGTTATTATCCCGTCGCATTGAGGTGAGTGAAATGGCTTAATTAAAGAGACCAAGTGCATGTAGGAAAGCTTTTCACTCCAAGCTGACAGTTATGGAATCTATAATACACATTTACTTGGATTTAAAAAAAAAAATGCTACGAGGGCATTCCCACAATTTCCAGCTAGCTGACACATTTGTCCAAGCTAGTTGGACAGGTTGTCTGGGGAATCCGGATTTGCTCATCACAAATGGACGCCTCACAGGCACATTCACCGTGCATTGAGAACATTTTCCGTAAATAATAATTAATAAGTACGGAAAATGTTTCCAATGCATGGTAGGATGTGTGTAAGGCACCTGTGAGGCGTCAGGTGTGAGGAGCAAATTTGGTCTCGCATTTACAATGGCACGTTCCCAATATCTCCTATACTTATATGCTGTCGTTCATGAGAGATATTCCTAATACACGACTGACTTCAATGTGCTATGAATTTGGTATGAGGTGCATTGTGAGAAGCAAATAGGAATTCTTGCCTAGGGATGCCATGGGGTTAGTTCCTCAACTAGATGAATACCTATAATTTTTATACATAAATCATTCTATATATATTCTTATCCATATATGGGTCTACAGGTTATCGTTTTCAGGACTGCTGTATCTTACTGTAAGACTGTAAGTCTGTAAGGGTCTAACTGAACCCTAAAATTCAATTGCTTTGTTCGTCTCTTCTCTTCTCTTCTCTTGTTTTCTTTTTCTATACTGTCTTTTTTTTTTTCTCTCTCCCTCGTGTCTGTTCACAACCAGCAGATCTTTGTTTGTAGTGATTTTTTAGTAGTAAGTATTAGGGAAATTGACTCGTAAAATACAGAAAGCTTTGTATTTTGAATTTAAGTTCTAGTTTGGATAGATTTTTTGAAATTACTTTTGTATTATTAGAAGTATCTATATATATATATATATATATATATATATATAGATATACTAAAGTAGAGCTTGTCATGTCAGCAATTAATCATCTCCTTGCTCCATTTCTAGAGGGGGTGCAAGATTTCCTTTAGAAGCATTAGGAGTTGCCACTTACCCATTCAAGTTGTATCGGTTTTATTCAATTTTTTGGTTTGGTTAGTCAGTTCAAAAGATTTAAACTTAAAAATTTAATTCAATTTTAAAATTATAGTGTAATTATTAAAAAATAAATTTAAAAAATTATATTTATGATATAAAACATTTTAGACTAAGAAACATGGCGAATTTCCCACTTTTCCATATTGAAAATTATATTTAAAATATAAAATATTAATATATATCCATGGTTAGGTCGTTCGATTTTGGTCAATTTACAAATGGCCAAAATGAAAACTAATCCAACTTGGTAAAATTGGGAAATTTTTTAACCAAAGCTGACCTAAAATACTAGAAAACCGACCAAATCGGGTCGAGTTGATCTGGTTGGTTAGTTTCATCAGTTTGATGAATAAACCTAGCTGAAATTAATTATTGTTATTTTTGTGTTATAAAAAATTTATTAAAAATGGTATATAAAATATGAATAATTATTAATTATTTAAAAAGTTAAAAAATATAAAACAATTGTATACTCTTATGTGTTTCTATTAGGGTCATTTAATAGAACACACCTTATAGTTTTACATATTTGCTTAAACCTACTTTATAGTTTTCATTTTACTAAAACATCCCATATATTTTTCAACTTATTTACTTAATCAACCTTTCATTAAGGAGTGTTTGTTTTGCCATTAGACCCATGATTTTTATTCCAAAAATACTTTTAGCACTTTTTTTGTACAAAAAACAAAATTGACCAAATATAGCCAATAGAGTGGTTGTATGTGTCTTATTAAGGGCAAAAATGGTATTTTTATTTTTATTTTATTTTGATTAAATTTATTTAAATAAACATTAAGGTCAGCACTGCCATTTCCACTATCATCTAATGGAAGATTGATTAAATCCATTGCAAATTATAAGTGGTGTTTTAGTAAAATGCTAACTAATAGGATAGATTTTAGCAAATTATAAGGGGTATTTTTGTAAATGACCCTTTTTATTATTTAGCTTTTGCTTAATAAATCCCGTGCACCACACGGGTTCCCAGTAGTATATACTAAAGTAGAGCCTGTCATGTCAGCAATCATCTCCTTGCTCCAGCAATTCTAGAGGGGGGTGCAAGATTCCCTTTAGAAGCACTAGGAGTTGCCACCTAACATGGCTTATCTCCTTTTTTTCATCTCCTTTCTATTAGTAAACTAATTATCCCCTACTTTCTCCTAAATTATCTCTATCTCTCCCTAATTCCTATTTATCTGCTAAATCATCTCTAATTCCTATTTATCATCTCCTCCACTTTTTGTCTACATCTATTTAAAGAAAGTTTCTATTCAAACATTTAACAATTATTTAAAAATTATAATGAAATTATGTTAATAACTTTAAAAACACAAAAAATAATTATAATAGGTTTAATAATATTCATATTATTAATAATTTTATATTTTTATAAAATTCATAATGAAATTATGTAATAACAATATAAATTATAATTTTATGGATTACTTAATGAATTTAATAACTAAATAATATTTTAAAAACATAAATAAAAACTATTTAAATAAACAGACTAAAAATAGCTAAATAATTATGTAACGAAATATTTAAACTTACATAATAACTTTAAAGAAATAAACTTTAAATAACAAAAAAGATTAAATATTTTACATATTATTTATATATTTAAATAATGGAATATTTAACATAACTAAATTTTAAATAGTTAATATAATGAAATTATGTAATAAATTTTAAAAAATTTTTCTTAAGAGTAGATTAATAATTATAATAGATTTCATAAAATTTGAATTAATAATAATTTATTATTTCACAAAATTAATAATGAAATTATGTAATAATAGTATAAATTATAATTTCATGGATTATTAAATTTAATAAATAATTGATATTTTAAAATTTTATATAATGGTATCATTTAATTACTATTAATATTTTAAATAATAATTTTATATTTTACAAAATTATGTAATCACAATATAATTTATAGCTTTATGGATAATTCAATTTAATAATAAATAATATTTTCAAAACATAAATAAAAAATTATTTAAATAACAAATATTAAAAATAGCTAAATAATTATGTAACAAAAAAAATTAAAATTACATAATAACTTTAAAGAAATAAATTTTAAATAACAAAAAGATTAAATAATTTACATATTATTTAAATAATAA